AGTTTTATGCTTTAGATGTGGTTCCCACATCCAATATTGTGTATTATGCATAAATTTACTGCTGGTATACTTAATTTTCCTCAGAACAACATTTTATTCTCTTCTTGTTTTCTAAAGTTAGTTTAAAATTGCTCCTGTCTCAAGTTAAGAAGTATCTTGTCTTCAATGCACATTGGCCTCCCCTAAGGCCATATTTGGACTATGTTCTTATCTTACCAGAGGATGGATCTCCTTCCTGAGCAAGAGCGTTTTGATGTGCAATGTAGATCTTTTTGTGAGCTTTTCTTGCAATTTCTTCTCTTGGCCCTTGATTTTCTCATGGCAGCTTGGTCAAGGTTTTTTGTAGTCTCTGCTGCAACTAGGTTTTTTTATTTTATCTTCCTCTATCTTTAAGTGCTTTTTATCCCTGTATTTTTTGTGTCTTCACAACTTTGGAAGCATATAATTCAAGAATTCTATTTTATTTTGATAGTTTAACTAAAGCTGTTTTTCTCTACTCTTTCAATGAACCTCTTACAGACAATCTAAAGGCTAAGACATAGGAGACACTTGAGAAGGATCCTAAAATACTTCGAGGTACATAACCCATTTGTGGCACTGAATTTACTTCTTGTTGGAAATCATATCTTGCAAAGTGATTTCTAATTAGTAATGATGTACTTGTATTTTGCTTGTACCAAAGGGCAATCAACGTAAAGCCTTAAAAAGGGTTCTTGATGAAGAAGAGTCTTCATTGACCACTGTAAGCTACCTATTTATTAGTGATGTGTTTCTGTGAATTCCATCTAAATTTTGAGTTCAGAGTCTACTATATTTTGCCACTTTTAAGTATTCTTTAATATGAAGAAGTCAATACCACGGTTCATGATGTTTTATTGTACTTGTGGTTATCGGACCAGGGCACGGACCTCTTGTTAGGGCAGCATGCAGTTCGTTCCTCCGCTTATATAACTGGACTAACTAAGTTATGGAGATAGCCTGATAAAGAGTATTATTTTCTTCAATTCTTTGTAGGCAACAGAAGAATCGGAAGGAAACTGAAGGTTTATCTCTGGAGAAAAAACCCAAATGAACCCTTCATGTGAGTGGTAGATTGCATATTTGCATGAAATGTCGATTAGTTTCAAATTTCATTGCTTCATTAGCTTAAATTGCAACCAAATAGAATACCGAAATGCTACTTTAGTAGTCATTTCAGGAATACTTTATCTTCAGAAATTAGATATGTCACGACCCAAACTTACTACTGTCAAACGACTCAAAAGTAAAAAGATAATCTACCACAAATTTGGTTTAATTACCCATGAACGTTTTTTTAAAGCAATAAATATCAAGTATTCTAGTTTTAAGAGAAACAAATGAATCCACACTCTAAATTCGTCAAATACTAAGCTAGTTGGGAACCAAGGAACAGCGGAAGCCTTCATCAGAGAGCCTCGCGAACGGATCCATTTCGGAGAAGGTTTTCCACTTCCGATTTTAGTGCGGCGTACCGCTCTGGATCCATCGCCTTTCTTTTTTGGCGAATTGGCTTGGCTTCACTGCTGACGTTCAGTGAATGGCAAATAATGTCCGGGCTGATCCCGACCATATCTGCATGCGACCAGGCGAACACGTCAATGTTCTACTTCAAGAAGCTTACCAGCTCGGAAGCGAGCTGAGGGTTGAGACAGCTTCCGATCTTTAGTACTCGGCTCGGCTCTTTTGGATCAACCAAAACTTCGAACAGATCCTCAACCAGGCCGCTCGGGGGGATTTCTTGAATTCGCGGATCTATGTTATCCTCCACCGGACCAGGCTGTGGCTCGATCCGGCTAATCGCCATAGCCTGGCGGGGCGCACATCGCGAAATGCCCTTTCCTTTGTTGGCCATTTGGACCGATTTTACATAGCATTCATGAGATGCGCTTTGCGATCCGCTTACCTCCCCTATCCCCGTTGGAGTGGGGAACTTCATCTTGAGATGATAAATGGAGGTGACTGCCCTGAAGGTTCTCAGCAGAGGTCGCCCCAAGATTCCATTGAAGGCCGATGGGCAGTCCACGACCAAGAATTCGGTAACCCTAGTCACCTCATCGTAGTCGCCGAGCGTGACCGAGAGCTGGATTGTTCCGCTGGGGATCAGGTGATCCCCTGTAAAACCGTACAGAGGCATCGAGGCTGGCTTCAGGTCAGCTTCGACTAGGTTCATTCTGTCGAAAGCGGACTTGAACAGAATGTTCACAGCGCTTCCGTTGTCTACGAGCATTCTGCAGCCATTATGACACCCTATGAGGGGCGTGATCACCAGAGCATCCTCGTGAGGATGGTGCAAGCGAGCTGCCTCTTTCTTGCAGAAGGTGATTGGTTCCTCTTTTCTGGCTTTTTGAGGTCGCTGCGAAGTGTTCATTACCCCGATCGGGTCATGGTGCGCTTCGCGAGCATATCTTTCCTGCGCTCCTCGCGTGTTTCCCGCGAGGTGCGGGCCTCCGAAAATTATGTTAACACAATCGTACCTGCTGCGATAACGGCGCTTTTTCTTTCGCTCCCCTTGGTTTTCTTTTGGGGAGTCATCAATGTACTCCTTGAAGTGCCCCTTCTTGATGAGCTCTTCGATAGCCTGCTTTAGAGCTCGGCATTCATCAGTGAGATGCCCATTATCCCGATGGTAACGATAGTATTTTTTGCTGTTTTTGGCCGTAGCAGGGGTTTTCATGGGTTCGGGCTCACCGAGCAGGCTGGCCTCCTCGGATTTATCGAGGATTGCAGATATGGACACATTCAGCGGAGTGTATTGAGTCCCGTCGCGGTCACGACGAGGAACAGGAGCATAGGACTTTTTCTGCTCGTAGCGGGGTTTCTTCCCTTTTTGCTGATCGTCAATGTCTCCTTTGCGATCAGCTCGCCTATTATCTCCCCGACCAGGCGTACTGCTGGAAGTGCCGTGATCGCGACGGCGGAGTGCCGCCACCGAATTCTCTATTCGGAGATACTTTTCTGCCAGGTTATAGAATCTGGTGAGGGAAATATCGTTCTCAGCCTGCAGTTCTTTCCACAGGTCGGTTTGCGGGCGAACTCCAGCTATTATAAGAGTTCGGATGGACTCTTCTGGAGTGTGAGCCACTTTGTTGAGTTCCCTATGGACGCGAGTCCAGTAAAATGAGAGGGATCGTCTTTTCTTGCCTTATGTTGCTGAGGTAGCTCAAAGGCATGAAAATTTCCGATTGGCTTGGAAATGCCGCAGGAACGCCGTGCTCATCTGAGGCCACGAACTGATCGATCCCGGGGAGCGACCTTAACCACCGTTTGGCGTGAGAAGTCAGTGTCACGGCCAAACAACGGCATTTTGCAAGATCCGAAACCTGGTGGAGCTCCATCAGGTCGTGAACTCATAAATGATCCGCGATCATAGTTTATCAAACGGCCGCATACTGGCATTCTGAACCCGGTGGAAGTGGAGCAGCTAGCACTTCGGGAGGAAAAAGGGGATGTAGAGGCGACTGCACCTGTTCGTTTTGCTGCTCCCTTAACCTGTCCAGAGCTCGCTGCAGCTCCTCAATTTGTGGTAATGGAGCCAATTGGGGGTTGCTTTCACCCGTGCGAGCCTTGCCTCTCGGTTGCGGTTCAGGAAAGTCCGGAGGTTGGATTCCTCCTCGCCTCGGCCGACATTTCCGGCCGCACTGACACACGCTGACTAGAGGCGTGCGAAGGCGATTGGTTGTGCGAGGCATTTTCACGACCCTCGCGGTGGTACGAACGCCCGCGAGGGTGTGGGAGCCACCGCATAATGATCGGATCGTTCTGCTGGTGGTGATAGGAATCACCCGCCCAGCATCTTTGCTTGGGTTTGCCTGCGACGTGGCATGGGACAGCTCGGGATTCACTTTTCACCGAGTCTCAGCTTTGCTGACACCCTGCTCGGGGCGCCTTTGTATTCGCTGGCCTTGGGAGCCGTAGGCTTACTTTTTGCCACTTGCTTACCCTTGCGCCTACGCGCTGCAGTGCTCGCGGCACGGGCTATCGCCCTTTGCCCCGCTTCGAGCGACCTGCAGGTGTCTTTGGCGGTTGTACCGCTCCGACTGTCGTAGATGACATGCCTTGGTCCAAACAGTCCAACCTCTGGTTGACCGTCTGGAGAGTATTGTCGAACCTTCCAGGTAGCTTCTGATGGCAGGGTCCAGTTGCGGAGCTGCCGGGATATTCCCAGCAGCATTTTGAGAAACGGAGGTATGTTGGAAGGGGTGTCCTCTGGGCTAGGGGGACTCCTTCAGCACGCTGGTTGACCTACAGGTTTTAGATGGCGGGCCATTTGTTGCTGTAAGACTAGTAGGTCAAAGATTCTCCTGATGAAGGGTAGACACTAAATCAGGCCCTCCTTCTAGCGCCAAACTGGTGTGATGTGTATTTTGGCACCAACGAATTGTCATGTGCGTAACGCTGATTGGCCAATAAACACACGTGATAATGAATTCAAAAAGTGAAATAAGTGCAAAGGAAGCTTTTAAAGTGGTTCGGAGTGTAAGGTAGCAAGTCCTACGTCCACTGATTTGTATTGATATTAATGTGGGTCAGGTCGCAATAGCGGACTGACTTACAGAAGAATTGGAAAAAGTAAATGTATTTACAGGAGAGAGAGAGAGTTTCTCAATGTAAAAATGGCCGAATCCCTTTAATGAAGGGGTCTTTTCATTTTATATCAAACTGAAGCGTGTAATCATCATTAAATCCATGGGTTGGTGTGATTGTCAGGATATAATCGGCTTTACGTCCCATTTCCCCTTCCCAAGCTGACTTCGCACGATTTATTACAGGGAAATGGACGCTGTGTGAGCTCCATATCATTTGGCAGGTTGACGTGTGCGTGTCGCTCTGACGGGAGCAGGTCACCCTTCACGTGACTTTCCACGTCAGCCCTTTATTTTCCAGGCATAATAATAAATATATGTGCAGTTATGAGAACATCTTGAAAGAGGGAGTTGATGTGACTATCTATTGATCAATGGCTATGCAATCTTTGAAAAATGGGAGCTGACGTGTTTTTGTTGGTCTTCTCTATCATTAGCAAAGCCAGTTACGAGAAAATCTACAAAAAGGTATATACAGTCTCTTTCCATGAGAGAAAATTATCATCTGAAAGCTGTTGAACTTTACATAATTGTTTAATTTATGCCTGACAGCGGATACCTGAGCTAAGGGACTATCCCCTTAAGTTCATCATTCTAGTAAGCATTACAATGATTTTAGGTGGAACATTACAAGGCCTCAAGACTTGGAGGCAACATGTGTGAGAGGTTAGCTATATAAAAACTTAATTTATGTGCCCAGTATACGTAATTAGTGTTCTAATATCTCTGTACTTATAATGATAGGATGGCTCATCTAGATTTGTTGTTTTATCGGTTAGGTTTTCCAACTTCAAGAATACTCGGGGAAATTCTCTAGAGTCTCCAACTGATTTTGATCTTCCTGGGGTTAGTGTAACTTTTTTTATAGTAGCTGTCACAACATGAGCTGGCCAGTCATATTTGATTGATTTTACATCACAATAATATTTTGGTATCTTTAAAGTCATTAATTATTGTCCTTAGGAATAATTTGTTCAGATGGTTGTTTCTGGAATCTGTGCATAGTCTCCCTGGGGGAGCTTGGATTCAGCTCTAAATCATGCTGTTAAGAATGTCGACAGTGAGTTCCTAAGTTGTTATCTTCACTCCTCTATGTTGTTGCTAAAAACTCCATTGATGGGTTGTTTAAACTGTTGTATGTTAATATAGCAATTTCAGTCCACAATGGAAGGAGCTTGGATGTATTATATTACCTTTGTTCTTATTTGAGTTTATACGAGTTCGGTAGTTTTTATGCTTTAGATGTGGTTCCCACATCCATATATTGTGTAATATGCATAAATTTACTGCTGGTATACTTAATTTTCCTCAGAACATACATTTTATTCTTCTTGTTTTCAAAGTTAGTTTAAAATTGCTCCTGTCAAGTTAAGAGTATTCTTGTCTTTCAGATGCACTTGGCCTCCCCTAAGGCCATATTTGGACTATGTTCTTATCTTACCAGAGGATGGATTCCTTCCTGAGCAAGAGCGTTTTGATGTGCAATGTAGATCTTTTTGTGAGCTGTTCTTTGCAATTTCTTCTTCTGGCCCTTGATTTTCTCATGGCAGTCTGGTTACAAGTTTTTTGTAGCTGCTGCAACTAAGGTTTTTTTATTTTTATCTTCCTCTATCTTTAAGTGCTTTTATCCCGTAGTTTTTTGCTTCACAACTTTGGAAGCATATAATTCAAGAATTCTATTTTATTTTGATAGTTGTAACTACAAGCTGTTTTTCTCTACTCTTTCAATGAACCTCTTACAGACAATCTAAAGGCTAAGACATAGGAGACACTTGAGAGGATGCACTAAATAACTTCGAGGTACATAACCCATTTTTGGCACTGAAATTTACTTTGTTGGAAATCATATTCTTGCAAAGTGATTTCAATTAGTAATGATGTACTTGTATTTTGCTTGTACAAAGGGCAATCAGTACGTAAAGCCTTAAAAAGATAGGGTTCTTGATGAAGAAGAGTCTTCATTGACCACTGTAAGCTACCTATTTATTAGTGATGTGTTTCTGTGAATTCCATCTAAATTTTGAGTTAGGTCTACTATATTTTGCCACTTTTAAGTATTTCTTTAAATATGAAGAAGTCAAAATACACGGTTCATGATGTTTTATTGTACTTGTGGTTATCGGACCAGGGCACGGACCTCTGTTAGGGCAGCATTGCAGGTTCGTTCCTCCGCTATATAACTGATAAACTAAGTTATGGAGATAGCCTGATAAAGAGTATTATTTTCTTCAATTCTTTTGTAGGCAACAGAAGAATCGGGAAGGAAACTGAAGGTTTATGCTCTGGAGAAAAAACCAAATGAACCCTTCATGTGAGTGGTAGATTGCATATTGGTGCATGAAAGTCGGATTATGTTTCAATCATTTAATTGCTTCATTAAGCTTAAATTGCAAACAAATAGAATACCGAAATGCTAATCTTTAGTAGTCATTTCAGAAATACTTTATCTTCAGAAATTAGTATGTCACGACCCAAACTTACTACTGTCAAAACGACTCAAAAGTAAAAAGATAATCTACACAAAATTTGGTTTAATTACCCATGAAACGTTTTTTAAAGCAATAAATATCAAGTATTCTAGTTTTAGAGAAACAAAGAAAGTCACACTCTAAATTCGTCAAATACTAAGCTAGTTGGGAACCAAGGAACAGCGGAAGCCTTCATATCAAATCTCTAAGCTTTATAGTTTCCAACTTTCAACTACTTGAGAACACAATAAACTATCATGAGTATAAATTCAGTAAGTAAATCAGATATTTTCTCAAAAAAAAAAAAAATATATAATATATATATACACACACACTAATCTCAAATCATCATTTCAAACAATAAGCGAATTACATAATTTCCATACTAATCCTTCATAATCATTTTAACATAAAACACATAGTTTGCTGACTTTGCATATCAGCGAGAAGATTGAACATAACATATAAACAGAAATCTGATTATGTCCAGCGGAACATATAAACCAAAATTCTACCCATAAACGGAGATCAACTCCACAACAAAGTCACACAAATATTGATCCATCAATCACACATCTTCACACATAACATATAAATTCATGGTTAAGATTGCTCATACTTAAAATATCAATACACATTCATACTCACGGTAACATATTTCATAAGAATATATCGAAAAACCATACATAAATCTATTGCAGTTCAATTTAAATTCCGATTTACTACCTCGATGTAAATCAACCGACATTTATAGGGAGTGGTAGAAGATCTTAATGAAGGTTATCAAACATAAGTACTATCAGTAACCCAACTTGACTTTAATCAATCCGTTTTCTATTAAAACTCTTCAATTTTATATATACATTATATATTTTAGAACACGTGTGAAATTACCTCCAGAAAAATCCATCGAAACAAGTTCAAAACACTCTTAAGCTAGGACATTTTGAAAACATTTACATGTTGTCACATTGAAAACATTGAGGGTTTTCTGCTCCATGATTTTTAGAAATTTTGGCTCTCATTGAATCCTACGAAACTTTATTCAGAATTTAAAGACATATTGTTGTGTGTGTGATTTTGACACCAACTAAAAGCACGTGTGAAATGCTGAGTTGACCAGAAGACACACGTGAATGGGGGATTGAAAATGTAAATGGTGGCAAGACAATGTTTTAAGTGGTTCGGATGCTTAAACAAGCGAATCCTACGTCTACTGATATTGTATTTATATTTGAAAGGTCAGGTCACAGCTTAGCGAGCTGACTTTGAGTATTGAGAATACAAATGAGAGAGAGAGAGAGCTATTACAGAGCGAAATTAGCTAATCAAGAGTAAAAATGAACGAATCCCACAAACGGAGAGAAGCTCTCTATTATAGTGGGATACTTTGAGGTAATCATTACTGAATCCGTAAAAAGGGGTCAGGTCCGTGAAAATCCTCTTTTGCGCTCCCGTTATTCACCTACTCGCGTGATTTCCTCGCTTTATGCAAGGATTGGACACGTGGACGACCTCCAGCCTTTCGTCAGTGGCGCGCACCCACTGCACTTGCAGGGCATTCTGCTTTGCTAGCACGCGATGTGGCCGGCCTGAATGGCTGTAGGAGCTGCCTAGACTCTGACCACTTGTGCTAACTGGGCCCTACGTCGCCCTTCTTTTCCAAGTAAACAGAAGTCCCCTAATTTTTAAGGTTTGAGAATCGAACCTTGGAAATTATAAATGCCTTGATCTAAGTTTTGAAGAGATTCTAGTCGAAGCGACCAGATTGTGAAGGAGGTCGAGAGGACATCTCCTCGCATGCGATCCGGGGTGATCTTTGCCTTGTAGTCAACTACCTGGATTAGGGTACCCAGTGCTATAATAATGATTTCGACCTGGATGGAATCCTCGACCTGTTTACACTTAGCTGCCTTTGAAAGAACAGCATGCATGCATGAAGAGTGGTCGAAATGGAGAGAAAGCATAAAAAATGGATTCAAGAAAACGGTTTTAAAAACAAGCTTGAGAAGAAATTATACCTACTCCTTTGCTTTGGATTGATGAAGATTAGCTTCAAAGGATGAAACCTCCACACTTTAACACCACCTTGAGAGATTAGAGAGTGGTCGTGGGTTTGAGAGAGAGTTTGGTTTGTGTTTTTGTGAATTAGTCAAGAAGAACAAAAATGCAACCTTTTGCACTTATATATACTTGGGCAATATTGTATTATTATTTTCACTTCCAAGCCCAATAAAATCTTATTTATAAAGGGACCCCACGAATTTAATATGCTACCCTTTGAATAATCATATTATTCAAGGGCCCATGTAAACTAAACTAGTTTACATTAACAACCCAAAAATTTACTCCTTTTTACCCTTTAACATAAAAATGTTATTTTGTTCATTCATTAATCTTAACACTTTAGATGTAATAATTAAATATATTAATTATTGCTTGACCATTTAACCCTTAAAATGTCACAAATGATTTATATGTAACTCTTACTATAGAAATCCCGTTATTACCCTTGGAAGGTGTAGCCCTCTTTGGATAATCATTTCTCTCTCTCATCCTTCTATACTTCTCAAGGCTATTGGTGTGACATGTAGGTCACCATAGATTAGCTGTGAGCCGGTTCTGGATGAATCCAAAAACCTGTTCGGAGGCCCAACGACTATGGTAAACATCTAGCAATGTGCCATAGTCCCTACACCACGATGAGAAAACTTCATCGAACCCATTTCAGATCATACGTACCATGTAGGTAAAGTCCCTCCATTGAGATATCCTAATCGAGTATGGATTCATGGAACGTCAAAATCCTAAACTCGATCTTCTACCGATTGTCGATCAATATGTCCGGAACTTGTCATCACAAACTTACTTTTGTATGACTAATAATAGACTCTGGCCAGAGATTCAGTTTTCTGACATTATCGATGTTCGTCTAGGAACTCGAATCCGGATGGAGTCAGCGCGCGTACTCCCTATAGTTCCGAGTCAATGGATCCCCTCTTGACCATCGTTCGTTTCTGCATATGAACAACGCATGACCAAATAGGCTTTATTGTACGAAACATGATTAGTCTCGTACTTATACACCGTATGAACCATACCATCCATATCGGATCCGACTACAATGTCTCAGGTCAAAGGACTACATCGTGCACTGATATAACCAACGATAAATCATTGACTACATGCTTTTCCAAGTGATTTGTCATTATTTGGTCACGTTCGAAAAACAGTTCACAACCGTTAATCCATACCAATGCCCCAGCGACATGACTATCATCGTCATCCGTACTTATATCAACTTATGATATCTTTCGGAAGCATCCGGTATGCCTACTGTGCAAATAGTTGCCCAAATTATATTGCTTCCGTAGGGAACCCTTTTCGATAATTCATTTACCTATTAAATGAATCATCTGGACAATTCATATACATACTTTATTTTAAATGCATGACTGAATAAATGAAGCAATTTACATATATGAATTGAAGAACTCTTTCTTCTATTATTTATGATATATATAGATACAAGACAAAATGCTCTGAAACCGACAACACGAATGGTTTTTAGGGCATACACTAATATACACTAACAGCCTTTAAGAGCATAAGTGGTCACTGCTTCGCAGCTTATATCTGTCGAGGTCGAGGAATCACATCGCTTCACAACTGACGTGAGATGAGGTTGAAGAGTTACGTCGCCTCGCGACTTACAAAACGAGGAGTATTTTTCATAACGACCTCTTCGGATGTTATCCGTTGCACTTTTGTAGTGGATACATTAAATGAAGCACCTCTTACGCTAACAGATGTGTCTTAAGCATAATAAGTGCCAGCCATGCACATTAAATGCCAGCCATGCTGAAATGCCCTATCAGAGCATTAAATGCAGACGTGAGCGCATTAAATGTGGAAGAGGAAAAACGTGTCGTCACTTGAGTATTTCAACGGAAGGGGATGACAATCTGATTTCTTGAGGCGTGACAGTCACTCTTCATTGCTGATTTGTGACAAGTGGCCGCGATCAATGGTCAGATGTGTTTTCTGCCCAAACGTCGTTTGACTTCGAAAGCGCCATTTCCTCAGCTATATAAACCCCAAGCTTTCCAGGCAAAGTCACAATACTTTCATTCTCAAAGAGAGCAAGAAACTTTCGCGAATCTTGGTTCTTTGCCTTCCAGAGTGGTGCGTTTGGTGTTCGGAGTAGAAAAGCTGATCTTTCTCATTTTAGGATGTAAAAAATGATTCCTTTCTCCTATTTTTGGTTTTATTTTACTTTCGACAGTCGCCATGCGACAACTGTCTGTTCGTATCTCATCGGAGATGAAATATCCTCTGTTGAGTCGGGTCCATTGATGGTGGCCCTTTAAGTATTTTGTTAGGTTTTTCTAGGGTTTAAGGGAGGAAATACTTATTTTCTCCCCACGTCTCCCCACGTCATCGTACGAGATACTGTAAGAGGACTGAATGGTTTCCTGCTTGTCGCTTTTGCAGACCGCAGGAGAATGGATCCCCCAACGACCAGAGCCGAGGAAGGGACCAGTTCACCCATGTAGGATGCTCCTACAAGTCCCATTCGAGAGATCTTCTCAGTACTTACCGAGGAAGAGCTTGAAAGGGTGATAGACACGCTATCAACATGGAGGTCTTCCACGATAGGACATGCACAGCTTGGCATCCGCCATAAGCGTTGGTCGCGATCTCCGAGGACATTTTCAAGGATAGGGGGTTGATCCCTTTCCACCCTTTAGGTAGGTCGGTCCTGGATCATTTCGGGATCATGCCAATGCAACTCACGCCGAATGCGTACATGATTGCCGTTGCCATATACATCGCGAATCGTGAGA